AAACTACCATCTGTTCTACACTTGAAGGCCTCCAGCTAAGAGAGATCAGAAAAATTACCAAGAGAAATATGAAAGAAATTCCCAACTACCCCAAGAAAATAGTAGATGAATTAACCAAAGATGCTTTTTCAAGAGACAACTGGATTTTCATTGTTTTTTTCCCCTTGAAGACATTTCATTTCTCATCCAGAACTGAAGAAGCTTCTTGATGAGAAATGAAACGTCTTCAAGGAAAAAAACAAAGAAAGCCCAGTTGCCTCTTGAAGAAGCACCTGTCAACTAATCCTTGCTTGGGTGCTTCACTACCGTGCAGTGGCAGTCTGCCATAAACTTTGGGGGATGCTTGGGGAAATTGAAAGTACTTCTGTATCTCCCCAAGATGCTGCTTCAAGGTCACCCAGTTGGGAGAGGAAGGCAGCTTGCATACCAACCTACGTTTGACATGTCCATTCTGAAAACATCTTGCTTGAACCTGATTGGTCTTGGGGAGTCAGTGATAGGAGGCAGTTGAAGGAGGAAAAAGTCGACTTAGGGATTTTGGTGCGCGATTCCCAGTTCTGGCTATGCATTACTGCAGTACACTTGACTTCTAATAAAATTACACCTTTCTCAATAAAGGGATCGTTTCTATTTAAGAGGTTTAAGTGCCAGCAAGTCTGGTGGCACCTTTGGGAGAACCATAATCTGGATGACTGAGAATCTCCAAGGACATTGAGTAGATAAACAGATGATACAGCCTATTTCTCAGGGGAGGAAAATTCCTATTTCTCAGGGGAGGAAAATTCCTATTTCTCAGGGGAGGAAAATTCCTGGAAAATTCCTTGAGGTCTTACGTGGAGGAGCCCTTGAAAAGTAGATCTAGATCTCACAGAACCTGCGGGACAGAGAAGCTCCTTGTTCTGACCAAGGCTTCCCAAGAGCATGCAGCGAACTCCTTGTCCCGACAAAAAACCCTTTTATTAATTTACTGTGAATTCTGCTCATTCACATCTGGCGAAGTCTTTCAAGGGAGAATTTACAGTCACGGACCTTATCTGGCTTGGAGAGCTGCCAGGCCAATATCTGCAGAACTTGGCAAGGAGTCCCGGAGAGTCATGAATCAACGAAGTGAACTAATGGTCTCCTGCAAACTCCACTCCCCTTTCGCTCCTCTTTTCTTTCCTCTGGGAGGGGCCACTCATGCTCCACCTGTGGCCTTAATCTCAAGTCAACCCCTATTCTTTAGCTGTTCCCTTTGTCTGGCCACTCTGCATATGGGCACACTGGGAACAGGCTCCAGCTCTTCTGCCTCACTGACATCTGACTCTGAAGGCAGCTGATAACTGTCAGATGGCCCTGGTCCCCTCTCTGCCTCTGACCCAGAGCCCTCATCCGAGCCTTCCCCAGACTCCAGGACTGGCCCATCTTCCTCCCCAACCTCCTCACTGTCCGACTCTGCTGCCTGCTCTGGTGGCCACTGGCAGGCCACAACACTCCTCAGTGGGGGGATGCATACCATAGCTTTTGATACCATGGTATCCTTCTGGATTGTCTCTGTATTGCACTGTTTTTCTTCCTTTCTCCATGGTCAATGAGTATTGATAGGGGAGGAGAGTTCCTGCCCATGGCTCCGGCTTTGTGAGGTTTCCACAAGGTTTGATTCACTCTCCTGTCCCTTTTTTTAACATCTACATACATTGCTGGATAAGGACATCAATGGCATGGGCTGAGGTATCTCCCAGTAGACGTCCTGCCCAGGTGTCTGAGGGCTATGGAGGTTTGAATGGGAAACAGCAGCTGCTTGACCAGGGGTGAAATCCAACAGGTTCTGGAGAACCGGTAGTGGAAATTTTGAGTAGTTTGGAAACTGGTAAATACCACCTCTGACTGGCCCCAGAATGGGGTGGGAATGGGGATTTTGCAGTATCCTTCCCCTGTCACGCCCACCAAGTCACGCCTGCAGAACTGATAGTAAAAAATGTTCACCACTGAGCTCGACCCTAGCAAAAGTGAGTAGCTGTGGGTATTAGCAAAATACCCAATTTTGGGGATTTCCTGCCTTCCATCATGGATGGGACTAAATTTTCCCAAACAGAACCAGTACACAGATTGAGGGTTCTCTTAGATTATGAGCCATCCATCCATCTATCCATCCATCCATCCATCCATCCATCCAATACTCATCCATCTATCTATCTATCACATTTATTTGCTGGTCACCTCACGTTGAAGGCAACACTGAGTGGCTTTGTGCTGTTTGAAGAACAGATGATAGACAGATGATATTGAGGAAGTACCACAAAAGTTAAGATGATGGTCACAACTCTCATAAAAGATGCAATGTGACTTTGATCAGGGATGCTATTCCCTTCCCCCCACACATAGACTATTTCCCAGATGTTCTTGACTGAATCAGTGAAAGGTTCCATTCCAAGACTTTTAAATCAGCCTCCTCTCTGCTGGATTTTGGGGACATGGGCTTAAAGCTCTTGTGTCTTTATTCAATTATATCTTCCAGCAGCCACAAGGACTAGTTTAAATAAATGTAACTTCAGCCACAGCGGGCAAGAACTTGCAACAAAGATGACAGAATAACAGAGTTGGAAGGGATCTTGGAGGTCATCTAGTCCAGCGGCCTCCAAGCCTTTGGGCACCAGGGACCAGTTCCCGGGGTGGGCTTCACAAATTTCAGCAACGGGTTCTCTGCCCAGTTGCTGGGTGGGCGTGTCCTAGTCGGCCTCCTGCACCATGCCGTGATAGGGCCATTATCGCCTTCCCCAGGCTCCGGAGGCTTTCCTAGAGCCTCTGGTAGGTCGAAAACGGCCTCCCCCGGGCCCGAAGGCCCTCCAGAGGCTGGAAATGGGCCTGTTCCGGCCTTCTGGAACTTCCAGGAGGCGAGTTTTCCCCATCCCTGAGCCTCTGCATGGGCCCTGCACTTACGTTGCATCCAAAATGGGCGGCATGGAGACTCCTGGGAGGGACGAGGTGAGAGTGGCGGGGCAGCCAGGGGTGGGATATGGAGGTTTTTCAGAACCAGCCATAACTTTAGCTACAGGTTCTCCCAAACCCGGGCAAACTCGTAGCAGCCCACCCCAGACTGGTTTTGTGGAGAAAGGTTTTTCAGTGGACTAGAGGGTGCGTGGTTTTGTATGCTGCCTGCATACCACGGATGGGGCTTTGCTTGTTTGTGTGGCCTGGGTTTTGGCATGCCGTGGACTGGTGCCAGTCCCCATATGGGGTTGGGAACCTCTGATTTAGTCCAATAGACTACTGTTCAAACCTGTCAAGGTCCATCTGGATCTTGAGCCTATCATCCATGGCAGGGGCCTGCTGGCCGCATCTGGCCCACGGGATGCTTAAATCTGGCCTGTGGGGCCCGGCCTGAAAATATCAAAGGACCGGACTGCGGTGGCTCTGGCGGCTCAAACAGGCCGCATGTGATCGTCCCATGTAGAGCAACTCTCTTGGCTGTGTTTTGAGTCCAGGTTTGGTTGAGCATTGCTTTTTTCCCAAGTGCCCTGTGGTGAGATGGGTAAAGGGCTAATACTATCATGAATTAATCCCATCGCCCTGGTGCTGAAGGGGGAGATCTTTGTTATGTAGAATAGACTGGCTCAGGCCTTTTAATGGCCCATTGACAAAGGTGGGGGCTATTAAGAGGAAGTCTGCTTCCTGCCTCAAAACATGTTTCTCCATTTCTGACCCAGGAAAATATAATATTCTGCCTTTTCAATATTTCCTAGGATATTTCATTCTTCTAGGAGAGAGGGATGGGTGCAAATTTCCTACAGGCGGTTCAAATCTATTTCTGGAAGGTGATTTCCCCTCTCCTCCCACCTTCTCTTTGATCTTTATTAACAATGCAGGAATTCGAAATCAAGGATAGGGAAAAGGTTATTCTGCCCTTCCAGTTAAGTAAACATCGTCTGCTGTGTTTTCTGTCTGTCTTGGAAAGTTTCTGTGAAAGATGGTTGGAATTGTCCAGATTGCCACATTCTAAGGAAGCCGTTTTCTTTAATCGGAAGCACATTTCTATGAGGTTGTAGCTTCTTCTCATTTTGTGGTCAAAATTTCTCATTTCCCAAAGTGGAGGCCCCATGAAATTAGCCATTCAAAGCCAACTACCACTTGATGTGGGAGGAATATTTAGATGGGACATCCAAGAAATAGAAATAGATGGAGACTTAAGAGAGGAATGGGGAAGATAAGTCCAAAAAAAGCATTGAAGCGGGCAAGAAATGGTGGGTAGAGGATTCCTTTTTCTTTATGGCTGCTTTGACTTCTTTTTCTCACACCCCTCTTTTGTTTTAAAGCACAGCAATGAAAGTATAAAGCGGGCAAGAGAGGATGGGAGGATGCTCATGGTTGCTGTGTTGAACTACCTCTCCCTATCTCTCCTTCTTTATTATCTTCTTTTTTTCTTTTTTCTTTCTCTTCTTGTAGGCAGTGGTTTAGTGGTTTATTCGACTTGTATGCCGCCCTATTCCCAAAGGGACTCAGGGCGGCTGACAAACCAGGAGGGAAGGGGNAGATAGATAGATAGATAGATAGATAGATAGATAGATAGATAGATAGATAGATAGATAGATAGATAGATAGATAGATAGATAGATAGATAGATGATAGACAGACAGACAGACCGCCAGACAGACAATAGACAGATAATAGACAGACAGACATAGAGATAGATAGCAATAGCACTTAGACTTATATCCCGCTTCGCAGTGCTTTTACAGCCCTCTCTAAGCGGTCAGCCTTTTGCCCCCAACAATCTGGGTCCTCGTGTTACCCACCTGGAAAGAACGGAAGGCTGAGTCAACCTTGAGCCGGTCAGGATCGAACTGTCATCAAGTCAGCAGAATTAGCCTGCAATGCTGCATTCTAGCCACTGCGTCACCGCAAGACGTGACTCTGGGGCAGCTTGTAAGACTCAAATGAAGCACCACACTATCAATGCAGTCCTGGTAAAAAAAAACATCCCACCAATAATTGTCCTTCCCCTCCCCACCCCCCTGTCCTAGGAGATGCTGGGCCTGCCGCTTGGCACTAACGACCAGAACGATCACCTCTTCAGTGGGTCCGCTCTGGAGAATGGCCACCCTGTGGAGCCACCCCCAATGGACGCCAGGCAGGCCAAGAGGCCCTTCCTGCATGAAGAACTTGCTCTTTTGTGAGTGTGGGAAGGTCCAGGGTAGCTCAAGACCTCAGGGCACAGTTTCCCTGCACTGAGGTTTTCTTCCACACTCTTCCTTTCCGTTGTTCTTTCCTTGCTGTGGGTGGAGCTTCTCATATCTGATTCCAATTCTTTCTCTTTCTCTCTCTCTCTCTCTCTCTTCCTCTCTATCTCTATCTCTATCTCTCTCTGTCTCTCTCTCGTGTGTCTCTCTCTTCTTCCCTCTCTCTGTCTTTCTCTCTTTTTGCTGTCTGTCTGTCTTGTCTCTCTCTCTTTCCTGCCCTCTTTCTCTGTTTGTGTCTCTCTCTGTGTATCTCTCTTTCTTTTTCCCTCCCTCCCTTTGTCTCTCTCTCTCTCTCTGTGTCCGCTCTCTCTTTTTGTCTCTCTCTCTGCATATTGTCTCTTTCTCTTACCTATCCTCTCTCTCACTGTGTGTCTGTGTGTCTCTTGTCTCTGTCTTTCCCTCTCTCTCTCTCTCTCTCCCTGTCTGTCTGTGTCTTCTCTCTCTCTTTTTCCTGCCCTCTCTCTCTGTGTATTCTCTTTCTGTGTCTCTTCTCTCTTTCCCTCCCTCTGTCTCTGTCTCTCTCTTTCTGTGTCTCTTCTCTTTCTGTGTCTCTTCTCTCTCCCGTTCTTGCCCTCCCTCTCTCTCTGTGTGTGTCTCTTCTCTCTCTCTCTTTCTCTCCCTCTGTCTCTTTCTCTCTCTCTCTCTCTTCCTGTCTCTCTGTGTCTTCTCTCTCTCTCTTTCCTGCCGTTTTTCTCTGTGTGTCTCTTGTCTCTCTCTCTCTCTCTTTCCCTCCCTCTGTCACTCTTCTCTCTCTCGCTCTCTCTTTCTTCCCGTCTCTCCCTCCCCCCCCCCCAAACCATTGTTAGATATCAGGGCTGAGCCCTGTCCTATCCCAAACATGCTTTTCCAAAAGACAAGTGGACTTCCTTAGTTTGTTTTCCCTAGAAAACTTTTCCCTTCTGCACAGGTAAAGGAGCTTGTGTGACCAGGTTTCCTTTTGCTTTTCCCCACCCACCCTTCCACCAGGGAGAAGCGGAAGGGAGTCTTGCCGGCCGTCTCCTGCTTCGGCCAACCGACAGAGTCCTCCGCAGGCAGCAGGATCTCCCTGCCCATGATGACGACGTCGGCTGGCATGCACAGCCTTCTCCTCAAAACAGCCCATGGCATCGCGGAAGGGCAGAGTGACTTTTTAAGGCCGATTGCAAACGGCAAAATGGTGAACACGTGAGAAGTGCTCGGCTTTCAGGCTGGTGAACATACTCGGAAGCAGTTTAACTTCTCTCTCTCTCTCTCTCTCTCTCTCTCTCTCTCTCTCTCTCACTCTCACTCTCACTCTCACTCTCACTCACTCTCTCTCTCTCTCTCTCTCTCTTTCTCTCTGTCACTCTCTTCTCTTGGGGAGTCATTTGTTTCCTGCAGACTTTTTGATATATCGGACTCTTCTCGTGTCTTAGCTTTCGGGATAACACAAGAGAGAAGTGACGGAGCCAGCAACTTTTGCTAGCTTCAGACGTTCATTTCCCAACCGCGCCAGCCGGGTGGAATCTGGCAGTGTTTTCCCTTTAAAGTGGCTTTTCAGTGAGGTTGTTTTGGGGACACACACACACACACACCCCAAGTCATTCTTGTTTTGCGATGCCTTTTGTAGGGAAGCATCCAAAAAACTAAAGCCAGTCGTTTCAGGGGAACGTTGTGGCTCACAGGACTACAGCTTAAGTTGCTCTGTTGCCCTTGTTACGAGAAGGGAGGAATTGGCACTCATCAGAAGTCGCCTGATCCTTCGACGGCGGGAATTGCGTGGAGAAGCGTTTGTGAGGAACGAGGAGGGGCTTGAGGAGGATCTCCACACAGGACCCTTCAAGGGTTGCAAAGCCTTAAGCTTTGCAACTGGTTCCTCTGTGGGCCACTTCTTCCCACCCTCTTTGGCAGCTTGGCCTTCCCTGGGCATCGAATGACTTTTCCTTCCTATATTAAAAAAAGAATTATCGGTAACGAAGCCAAACCAAGTGCCTGGGGTTTTTTTTCCCCACTTGGTTCTTTCTTGCTCAGAGTTGTAAGCAGGAATCACCACGTTCCGTGACAGCTCAGCCCACGCGTGGCGAGAGGCGCTCAATTCCCTCAGCCCCCTCGACCGCCTGTGGGCCTCCCCCACCTCCCCCCCCCCGGCTTGGTATTCAATGCCTCCCCCAGTGATTCTCTGCAAAACGGGCGCGGCTAACACCTGTGTTTGTTCCCCTTTCTCTTCGTCAAAAAACACATGGTTGATTTAGCGGTCCTTGAGATGCTCCTGGTATTGAGTTGGCCATCTTGTTTCTGAGAACGCCAGTATTTAGAATTGTTAGCGATTTAACTCCGATGATATCTTGAAGTCTTTATCATGTAGCTTGAGCTGGGCTTGTACAGAACAGGTGGGGGGGGGAAATATTTTTCAGAGTATAAGATACTCCGAAGTATAAGACACACCTAGCTTTTGGGGAGGAAAACAAGAAAAAAAAATCTGCTTCTGCCTCCTTGCAGCAAACAGTAAACAGCCTGTTTCAGTTTCAGTTTGAACACAAGCAACTGATTGTCAGTTGGATCGGCCTCCCAATGATCAGCTGTTTCAGGCTGCAGGGATTACCGTAGACTAATGCCGCCTCTATGCACCCCATTTTCTGCCTGTTCTGGGTGGCAGGGATCAGAATGGGTGGAAAATGGGGCACGCAGAGGCTAAAAATGGGATGCGGAGGCCGAAAATGTGGCTTGCAGAAGCGGCAATAGGCAATGGCAATCCCTGCAGTCTGAAACAGCTGATGGTTGGGAGGCCGATCCAACCGACAATCAACTGCTTGTGCTATTGAGGCTCTGCTGAAGCTGAAACAGGCTGTTTGCTGTTTGCTGCAAGGAGGCAAATTGTTGGAAGGCAGAGGCCAAAGGGTAGGGGCTACATTTGGTGTATAAAACGCACCCAAATTTTCACTCTCTTTTAGGGGTGGGGGGAGTGTGTCTTATACTCTGAAAAATACGGTAAGTCCTCTTTAAAATGTGATATATCTATATATATTTTGAAAACCATAGAGTTCTAAAATTGGGCCATACTCCCCTGCGACCTCTTAGCTGTGCTCTTTTCCCTTTAAAAAAAAATATATATTCAGGCTACATCTGCAGAGCAAGGAGATACTAAGCTAATCGGGCAAAAAACATTCTCTCGGTCCTCCTCTGCAGCTTCCTTTTTATAATTTTTACATTTGTCTTCCCTTTTTTTGTTTTTGTTTTAAGAAAATGTTTGTTAATTAACTTCTGTGAAGTTGTTTAACTCTGGAAATCGTACTGGAATATTTTAGCCAAGAAGCCCTTTCACCAGGGTGTATTATATATATATATGTGTATATTATATACAGTATATATATATACAAGGGCTCATCCTTCTATCAAAAGAAAACATTCAAAAATGATCATGTTGTTGCCAGAATAAAGCTGGTATTGTGGCATCACAATGTTTTTTACACTCACAACGTTGTGGCATTTCTCCGCAGGTTACAGCTCTTAACTTGGATCGTTGGTTAAAAACAAAATCTCTCTTCCGCACATCTATGTGCCGTTTGGAAAATTCCGTAGTACGCACAGATAGAAAAATACAAGGACTTATATTTTGATAATTCCAGCGATGTTGTGGAGGAAAAAAATACAATACAATAGCCAAGTTGGAAGGGACCTTGGAGATCTTCTAGTCCAACCCCCTGCCTAGGCAGGAAACCCTATACCGTTTCAGACAAATGGCTATCCAACATCTTCTTAAAGACTTCCAGTGTTGGGGCATTCACAACTTCTGGATGCTGTTTCTTATCTGCTAACTTAATAGTGAAGTGCAAAAGGCTATTTCTATAGCAGCCAAATTCCGTTCTTCGGTTTTCTTAACAATCCCCAAAGTTTTCCTTTCTACCATAGCTCTTTAAACGAAAGGGGATTAAAAAT